GAAGACGGGAAAGAAAGGATATCTTGTATGCAGCAGCAACAGCGGTCAAAAGTGTGCCACATTTAGAAAGGACGACGAAGACACGTGTGCGCTTAATGGCATGAACCTGTGCATGCCCGTTAAATGCATGCACAAAAAAAACGCCAGCGTGAACAGACTGTTAACGAGTTGCGCCATTAGCGCGACGTGTTCACACTGGCTTTGTGCCACTGAACAGACCATTAGCGCGTACCATGAACCCTGTCCGCTGTGCGACTATCCCCGCTATTATGTACCACGAACCCTGTCCATTGTGCGACTATTCCCGCCCCTGACCTCCAGGTGATCGCCGCGATATTCAGCCAGGCCGCTCAGCCACGCACCATCATCGGACAACACCGCGGCTTAACGATCAGCCTTCGCTGCCTTTCCGCAACGGATCGATAGGGCTGCACGTGTCGCAACATCCAGCGAGCAAACAGAACGTGACGCAACACCCCTATCCACTACCAGGGACAATGCGTCGCCGGCCAAATCTCTGCACCACGATGTCCAGTGCACCTCCCTCTCCTCTCCCCCCGCCCCGACAATCCCTACCACCGGGGTACCGTCACCGAAACAGTGCTGTCCGCCACAGCTAGCCTTCACGCACTCAAGTTTACGACTCAGCTGGCTTGTCCGGCCGTGGTGGCCAGGGGCGTGTGCGGGTTTGGCACAGTGGGGGTGACAGGGGAGGGGGACACGATCATACCTTCTCGTTAGAAATCCTATCCTTATCCGAAACGCAGTCAAAGTTTACTTAAGGCAAAATTCACTTAATGACGGGATCACGCACCCTCCCCCCCTCAACGACTTCCTAAATCCGCCCCTGGCGGCGTGACCGCAAGTGGCGTGCGGCAGAGCGGGCTACCGCGAGGTCGCGCCGACCCCCGGCATTGCTGTACTTGTGCGGCCTTCACGCGCCGTGCCGGGGCCGAACAGCTGGCTGTCTGCAGGACGGGGTGTGGGTGACGGCTGACACTCGGAGGGGGTGTGGACGGGAGTGTGGGTGCCGGCTGACACTCGGAAGGGGTGTAGAGGGGAGAAGGCAGTTTACTCCACGTCTGAGTGTAGGCATCAGCTGACGTTTTAACGGGGTGTATATGGGAGATGACGGCTTACTTCGAGTCGGGATGTAGGCATCAGCCGCCACTTTGACAGGGTGCGAGATGGGAAAGGGCAGCTTACTCCTCCGAGTCGCAGTGGAGGCATCATTTGACACTGCGCATTCAGCAACTGACTCTCGACCCGGTGTAAACAATCCACATGCGACACAGCGAACCCTACCTATCTCCTTTCTAGGCCGGGGTGCAACTAGGTAGACAACAGGCGCAGCCGCACCAGGAACTAGGAAGCTCGAGCCGGCGAAGCTCAGCAAGCCCCTCCCTCTTCCAATTCCCCACTAAACTTTCCGGAAATTTGGCGTTGGTCCTATGGGCGTCGACCGCGAAAAATAACTGAAACTGGCTAACGCCGCCCAGCTAGGCCGGGCCTTCATTGCCCTTGTAATGTGCCCTTGTTGCCTTTGTTTCGTTGCCCTTGATGTTTTCGTTGCCCTTGTTGTTTCATTGCCCTTGTGTAGACTGATAACGGCTAGAGAAAACACGCATTGCGTGAGAATCGAGCCCCCCTCCAGAAGCCACGTGCCCGGTGCTCTGCTTCTCCGCTCCGTTGCCACGCGACAGTTCGCTCCGCCACAGTTACAGTCCGCTCCGCCACGCGACAGTTCGCTCCGCCACGGTTACCGGTCGCTCCGCTGCCGTCCGTTGCACTGCGCCAGAGGCATCTCCAGTTAGCCACCTGTGCGCCCTCTCACTTTCATCACCAGCCACCGAGCGAGCTGCCGTTTGTCAAAGGCGTTCTGGCTGCTAGAGGAGCCGTTGGCGCGACCGACGGCAGGGGCGACGCCAGGGAGCTCACCAGACCGCGTCCAACCGGTCCGTCGCGGCAGAGGCGTGCTCAGGGCGTACAAAGGGGAGTGCAAGGCAGCACAAAACAATCAGCTGCGAACGGGACCAATTTCGGCAGCAAATGGTTCGTTTTGAAGCAAAGGAAGGAGATATGGGCGGGAGATGATGTGGAGGAGAGGAAATGTGGCCGGGGACGCCTCGCATGTCCGCCTCTGCCCGAAGCTGCGCGGAAGGGAAGTCCGGACATGACAACCGCGTGCGCGCGATAGTCCCATTTGCGCGTGGCGGCGTCGCGCTCGGCGCCGACGGTCGGGTGTGCCGTGATGAGGCGCCGACAGGGCGGCGGCCGCCCCGGTCGCAGGCTACTCGACATGGCCACGACGACGACCGGAAGGCCAGGGATTAAGCCGCCGTGTTTTAAAGCGTTGACTGACGCCCGAGAGGTTGGTTCAGTTCCCGTGATAGGAACCTTTCACTAAGCCGGTTTTTATCACGCTTGGTGATGTTGATGTCCTTGCTAGCTGAAGGGGCCGATGAGGAACCAACAATAATTTTGGGGCATGACCCAGGTGTACCTGAGCGTGTCCTGACTCGGGTTTATCCAGCTTTTATCACCGGTGACATTTATCACGATTGCAACTATCTGACACATCACTCAACAGCAATTAAGTGTTCGCCGTCTACATGGCTGGAGAAGCCAAGCCTTGGCCTACTTCACCTAACAACCAGCCGCTTGTTTGGCAACTGGGGCCCAGAAAAGAAAAAGAAACCTAGAAAAATCTTACTGTGAGCAAGTGACAGCCTTTGTTCGTTCTGAGAAATAACGGCGTAGACGACACCCCGGTGTCTTCTATGTTCCTTATCCAATGCCGCCGGCTAATGACAAGCTTGAAGCAGACGGAGATCAATGTCAGCAACACGAGCAGACGCACGCGCTCGAATGAGACTCAGGGTCGAGCCTGTGCCCAGAAGGAGCCTAGCTGGTGGATCCCGTATGTAACCCGCGGTTTAAATGACCTTCTGGTGCTCCCTGCTCTCGCCACTTTTATCGCGAGCTGATCCCCTCCCCCCGCCGCGGGTGTGCAGACTTAAAGCCGTGCGTGCTCAGACCAAGCTGAAAGTCACTGAACCCGAATGGCCACGGTTAAGCGTCTTTTGACGCTGAAAGTGTACCCTTAAACGCTTGTGAGCGCCTAAGCTGCAGTTTAGCGCCATCTTCAGCTAGCTCATAACGGGATAAAGAAGACGGGTGTCCTGGTGATCAGCAACTTAAGAACTTAAAGAACGGCCTTGGTGGTCTGAAATCGAACTGAACCATGACTGTCTTTCCACCATTTCAATGCCGAAGGACCTGTACCTTAAGATCTTTCGAATGTTAGCGATTATAGGTCATCCAACGTCGGCCGAAGGTCGGAAGGTCCAGTCCACAGAAGGTCACGGAATCCAGTCAGCATGGCGCCGAATACCTTCGCGGCCAGTTCCGGCCCGGAATCTCGTTTATAGCGATCCGCTGCCTCGATTTCCGTTGGCCCCTCGCCAGTCCACTTCCGGCCAGGCCAAACAAGAGTCAGCTGACAGCCCCGCCCTCGAAGTGTGACAATTCGGCTCAGGCGGCTTCGCTGTGGAGCCGGAGCGCGATTGTGGCCATTTACTGCAGAGAATAGAATTACTTAACAACCGACGAGCGCGTGGTCGTAAAGCAGTGTCTGTGTCTGTGTCTGACACTCGTGTCTGTTGATGGTTAACACATTGACAGACACGAGTCTGTTGATGCGTTAAGCAGCTCATAAACCAGCGAAGTTGTTTGTCAACAGATCAACGATTTTATTGCGTTTGAAACCTATAGATTGATTCAAAATTGCTGTTTTTTTGCCCGTTAACAATAAGATAATAGCCTATCTTTAATTGCCAAACGGTTAATCCTTCCAGGTTTGTCCCAAAGATTAATCCATGCCAAAAGGATCACCCTAATCCATTTGTATTCCAACTCGCCAACGGCCCACGTACTTCCTGCGCAAGACCTTGACCTGGGCATTGACCTTGACCGAGTGGCATTATTCAGATGACGTTTGACCTGGCATTGACCTGACCTTGACCTGGCATCATTCGGATGAAGTTTTGCACCAATGGGAGCTCGTCATGCATCTGTATATTTTAGAGAAATAACACGCTTTTGTCGTCTGATGGCAGAGTCCAGACGAAATTGCGCGCTGAGCCCACACCTTGGTCGCAACTCCGTCCTTGTTACAGAAACATTGTACGCGGTTGTCGTCATACCCGATTATTCACAGTGTAACCGCGCATGTTGACAGCGGTCCTATCCAGCTCAATTACCAGGCACACATACGCGTCTAATCGCCAGTTTGCGCAACGCCCCAGAAGGGGGGTGGGGGAGGGGGAGACGTTACTAGCATTACGGACACGCATCTAGCAGTGAAATTGGTGCAGTAGGTATCCGTTAACGTAGCGCTTGGTGGGTTGCGGTGCACTGAAGGGCACCGCTGCTCACCTACACGGGTCAGACGGGCATGTAGCCAGAATTTCCTCAAGGGAGGGGAAGCATCAATTTTCTCCGAAATCCTGCCGATTTGAGCCAAAGTCCTGATAATCACCCCGCATCTAGTGTAAACGTCTTCGCTCAAGGGGCGAGGGGGGACTTGGTCACATAGCCTTCCTCTTGCTCACGTCCCTGGGACCAGGTGCGTTTAGTGTCCCGGCCGATATACTGTTCAGTCCAGCCCGTACTGCTCCTTGAAGGGGACGCCTTCTCTTTGTATGTGGCAATGGCGGCGAGTGTTAGATAACGCTAATTGGATGAGCAGCATGATGATACATGTGGAGAGAAATAAGAATAGCCTTATGCTCATGGTACGCAAAACAAGTCCAGAAAAAGACATAGACGGCTCGTTTTCTGGACTTGATAATTCTCTTCAGAGCAAAAGGCTATGCTCATTTTCCTCCACGCACATGGCGGCAATGGTCTCTCAATCAATGCACCCACAATGGCTAGGCGGTGATGGCACCGCGTCTGGTGCTAGTGTCGACCAGTAGCGGCTCAGACCGAGCGCTTACCCGGGGTAGGTGTTGATGGTGTCGCAGTACGTCATGCCGCCGCGAGCGCAGGATGGATTGTTGCCGGGTGGTGCCGGCATGTAGAGGTAGGAGCCGTTGTACCAGACGGTGCCGTACGGGGCAGCCGGGTCGTTCTTCGGGATGTACTCCTCCTGGGGGCGTCAGGAGCTGGTCAGCGAGACCGCGTCAGGGGCTGGACTGGGTCAAAGGATGGCGTCAGGATTACCATCATGGATCAGTCACTGAGATGAAGTAAGAGCGACAGAAGATCGTTCGCTTAAGTGGTAGCAGGAGCAGCAGGGAACTAACGAGATGCCAAGAACAAGATCCTCGGGGACAGCAAGAAACCTGCCACTGCGCCGATATCGGGAGCAGCAGAACACCGTTCCTGGACCCCTCCTCCCTCCCACACTCCCCCTTTCTGCACGCTGCCCTCGTTCCCCATCCCTCCCCTCCGCTCAAATCAGTGTCGCTCCACCTGCCGCAGCGGCATTGCACACCACGCCCCCCGCGGCGCCGCGCCGCGTCTCTGACAGAGCACCGGAACCGCGCGATACAGGTTGCGCGAGCCCCCTGAACCGCCGGCGTGGTGACGACACCACTCATCGTCCGGTGCGCGACACCTGACGTGCGCCCGCGGCCGGCTGCGGCGCGACTCCGCGCGGAACGAAACGAAAATTCCGCGCGGAACGGCGCCGACCGGTGGCGGGAAGCCCGCGCCGGGCGACGCAAAGCGCGGCGTTGCTTCACCGGGCGTTGCGCGCGCGCGGGTTGCGCTTGGGAGGGGGGCTCCGATCCGTCGAAAATGTAACGTAAAACCAGACAACCAGACAGCCAGACAGCCAGACAACCAGACAGGCAGACAGCCAGACAACCAGACAGCCAGACAACCGAACAACCGAAGCAACCGGATAACCAGACAACCGAACAACCGAAGCAACCAGACAACCAGACAACCAGACAACCGAACAACCGAGGCAACCAGAGAACCAGACAACCGAACAACCGAAGCAACCAGAGAACCAGACAACCAGACAACCGAACAACCGAAGCAACCAGAGAACCAGACAACCGAACAACCGAAGCAACCAGACAACCGAACAACCGAAGCAACCAGACAACCGAACAACCGAGGCAACCGAAGCAACCAGACAACCAGACAACCAGACAACCGAACAACCGAAGTAACCAGAGAACCAGACAACCGAACAACCGAAGCAACCAGACAACCGAACAAACCAGACGACCGAAGTCGGTGGCTGGGTATGCCGTGAATGCGGCCGAAAGAACTTGTCGGGAAAGGGAAAGAGGGTCAGTTGCCATTTGATTCGTTTATTCCCCAAAATCTCCTGGGCCCAGTGATCACTTGCTCAAATGTTCACCGGCCGGCCCAATAAGCCCTATTTCACGCGGTGCTTGAGAGTTGCCGCCGCCATTTCCGGGAGGCAACTGGCGCGAGGTGTGGTCTATGCGAAAGAAAAACAACTTCTCAGAAAAGCCTAGCACAGCCACATGCCGAAGTCCGCGGAGTCGCCGCAACACATCTGGAGGTGTTCATCACGCGAGAATGCGTTAGCAAGTATCCCGGCGCGTACCGTGGGGCGTGAAGGTAATGACGTCATGTAGGAAGCACAAGGACAGGAATCACCCGTGACAACTTCATATTAATGGTGCATGGGCGCGGACTTCGGAGTTCGCAGTGTCGACCCTGGATGAGGGCACTCTAGTGTGATGATGTGGCCGAGACTAGCACTGACGCCTCAGGGCGAAAATTGTGGATCAGAAGCAGTGTTTAGATGTGGGGCGGTGCAAAAGCGTAGAACTGTTTTGTGGAGCGAATACATTCATCAGTTAAGCGAAGCTGATGTTCTTTTTCTAGGTCACCTCAAAGGACATAATAGTTTTCTACGAAGACCGCACCCTCCCGCTCGCTTGTTTTTAGATCCACGCGTCATCTATTTTTCCATACGAGCATATAATGCGCCTGCAAGATGGAGCCGTGCTAATACTCTTGTGACTCCACAAGCTCGTAATCACATTGCGTTTAGCATTGGGAACTCTACGCCTCCTAATTCGGAAGCCGGACCATGACACTCATAGCAAAGCCCGGCTCTAAAAGCGCTGATTTTCCGTGTCTCCACATTACAAGAGTTTAAAAGGTCAGAAGGCTGAACATGATCTATACACATGTCTCTCTGGGGGGCTGCACTTTTATGCGTTCGGGTGGTATACACGGCAACACGTCACTTACTAACACAAAACTTTCGACCTCGTACATTCACATCGAGAAGTGTTTCACCCAGGCACCTCTTTTAGAATCCCTAGCCGTTATGTTATCGGGCAGGTCACAGACTCACGGGTCATGCTACAAACGCCATATATTCCTCCGTTCATAATTGCCACGCAGTGTGGGAGAGCTCCCACACACATGAGAACGGCTCTATTATCATCACGCCATCGGAGTTCTGGCCCGTGTCACAAAGCCACCGGCGAGGCAGCTTAGTAATACACAAACCGTAACACTCGCGCCGTAGTTAAATGGGCATATGACGGAGGCGCACGAGCAGACCATTCGTCAACGGTGCGGTGGTTTGAGGCTATATGTGGGAGTTATTTGGAAATGCTTACGGATGTGTGCGAAGGCGAGGTCGTGACTGGCACCGCGCCGTCTGGATGACCTCAGCGTGTGGGTTAGGAGCATCAACGTCCGCAGAACGTGTTGAAGGGTGCCTTGAAGAACACAAACTTCACCGAAGTGAGAGAGCTTGGAGGCGTGTTACGGTCTACGTACTTGAGAATTAAAGACCAAAAACGTACTGAGGACGCTCAGGTCGGAACATGGTTCTCGAGTCGGACATAAGCAGTCTTAAGGTTCAAAAGCATCTCAGGCTGCCCCAAGTAAGCCCCCGATTCCAGAGATCGAACAATGTTTCGAGCGTGAGACTAAAGGTGGGTGTCCTTTTTTATGCCTTGCTGCTTTTCCTGTCTTAATCCACATATGACGAAAAGTGTTGTACTGTTACGTTGGGTGTGGATAATATGGCTCATCTGAAAGACACCGAACAATCGGCCGGCGGGGGCATTTTCCGGGCTTTTCCATATATGCAGGAAATCGTGCACGGTGCACTGCAGATATGCATAATCTCCACCATCGAATTAGTTAAGACCCAATCGTTCCCGATTTTTAGCGGGTACATGAGGTGTTCAATGGAGGGTTCATTTCCATTTCACTTCATTTGTCCCATCATACGACTGACAAACAAAAAGACCACGCAATGGTGTGTTGGCGCAAGACTTGGAAACCTAAATGGAGGTACCTATCCAAACAAAAGGCGTGCGGAGAGCAGTCTGCCACCAACACATTAGTCACGCGCTGAGCCCGCCGACTATCCGCCTAACAAAATGCAGCGAAGTGAAGTGAAGTGAAGTAACCCGGCCGTTTGGTGCCGCCGCTGAGCCGCCTGCAATGTTCACTTGTTTTGGGGTGTTGGAAAACGGCGGGTGAGCTAAATGAATGATTGCGTGAGCCCAGCTATCTCATGACTGTAAAGATTGCCCAAAGCTTTTGCCAGGAGGAGCGTGTAGCCTCGCTTGGTTGGACAGGGATCTGAAATACGCCTGACGTGTTTGCACTGCCGCGAAGGGCTGTTATCGAAGGCGTGTGAAAAGGCGACAGCTCTGGAATGTTCCGTGCCGTCCGGAGGATGCCCACATGTGCAAGCAAGAGCTGCGGCATCGGCACATGAAATACAGAATCGGTGAGCATTGATGACGGACAATCCCAAACGCACTCGGACGTGTTGTGCATTTCCCACTTTGGAGACCGATGAGTTCAAGGTCAGTGAATTAGAAATTCCGAGTTACTCCCGATGGTCCGAGAACTGACCCTTCTTACCCGAAATGTGAACAACAGGGGCAAATTACAGGATATGTCCGATATGCTACAAAACCCACGCCCACAGGTCATCAGGTCACCCACAGGTTCACCCACAGGTCATCTCCACCAGCGCAGCAAACGCTATTCCACACGTCCATGAACTCCCAGCCGGATATGTCAAACCTACTACCTACTAAGGTTACCTACTGAGGCGGTTGATTGGCCGCTTCGTGGAACCGACGGTTTGACGGTTCATGGAGGCGGAAACAGTCTCACTAGATAAGCCGGACAGTTAAATAAGTTACGAGGACAGGTGTCTGTCTGCTAGTGGGACAGGACACTCCTGACAATGCGGCCATTAAGCCTCGCACCTACGGGCTAATGGATGTTTCCGCTCACTCCCGCGACCTTTGTGTTCTTCGAATGGTTGCAGAACGGCGTGTACAGCGCCTGATTCCACTTTAATTTTGAAGGCGCTCTGAGAGTTTGGAGTCTAAGCCATGTCAGGTCAATAACATGGATGGGTTCTCGCTAGGCCGTGTTGGACCGAGACCCGGTTGAGTATGGTACTCACAAGCAATGGTTTTAATGTGCTAGCGTTCTGGTCCGCTAAGCTTTTAACAAAACGTCACTGCTTGATTTGAAAGTGACTGCAGGATGTCATCGAAGGCTACCTACCAAACTTACTCTTCACATCATTTTTTGGCAAGATACCCTCTTCTTGAGTAAGGTGGCAATTTTCTTCATTTTGAATTTAACGGTGTCGCCCGTGTGTCATATCATTGCAGTGTCATATTTACCACCTACGCCGTCGTAGGCCAGTGTCCCAGCTTGAGCTTTCCTCAAAGATTGTTACAACATGCACTCCAGTAGCGCAGGTGGTTCGTTTTAATTTGTCTTTGGACTTGACAATGTCGCATTGCCACCGGTAGGCGGTATTTTGCCACGAAAGGTCGTCGTATGTCACTGACACGGGTTGACTCCGAAATGCAACTGGCTAGACAGTTGGTTGGCCTCGGCCAAATGCCAGCAAGCCTTCATTATGAGTCGAACATAGTAATACAGAAACACAAAACACAGAACACAGGAGTCACAGTGCTGTGGGTTATGAAATCATTCAGTCGCCGACAGAATGCGATGACAGACCCAATTGGTTGGCCGCCTGTATGCAGTGATTTCTCAATGATTATTTGATGTTATCTGACCTGGATATCAGCCTTAGGCTGAGAACTAACATGAGGAGAAATGATATAGAATATAGATGTAGAATATAGATATAGATATAGAAACATAATAAGAAAAAATGGCTATTCACCTCTAGTCCGTCCGAGGACAGTAGGAGGTTATATATCCCCCCCATCATGCTATGTTTTCATGAATTACCAAACACAAAGCATATTGACACTGTCCTTCGACCAACGAAATGCATTTAACTAGCAGAATACCAAGTTAGTGCCCAGAATAGGAAGATAACATGTGGGTTAATCGGGTGATCGGATCAGAGAACAGAACAGATCATAAAATCCGATCCGACAAAAGAACAGAAAGGATCACAAGATCTGATCCGACAAGAGAACAGAACGGATCACAAGATCCGATCCGACAAGAGAACAAAACGGATCGCAAGATCCGGTCCGACCGGAGAACAGAACGGATCACAAGATCTGGTCCGACCAGAGAACAGAACGGATCCCAAATCCGGTCGGACAAGAGAACAGAACGGATCACAAGATCCGATCCGACAAGAGAACAGAACGGATCACACGATCCGATCCGACAAGAGAAGAAAACGGATCGCAAGATCCGGCCCGAGCAGGGAACAGAACGGATCCAAAATCCGGTCCGACAAGAGAACCGAACGGATCACAAGATCCGGTCCGACCAGAGAAAAGAACGGATCACAAGATCCGACCCGTCCTGCAGTGAGCATCGAAGCGGCACGGCACGGCACGGATCGCGGATTTATGACACCATGGAGGCAGAAACATATCTTGACCTGCATTTCCCGCTCACCAAAGCTGTGTGGACACATTGGCACGAGGCTGCCAAGCACCGTGACTCATCAGCCTACCAGCTACTGAATTATTCAGGGTGCCCGACCATGATAAGCAAGCCTTTATTGGCATTTGTTACCCGAGGCTGACTTGCGATTGCAGGCGGGTTTGATGAGCCTCCTTAGGCACTATTCAGCATGTCAGTCACATTTTCATCGAGCGCAATTAAATCTTAGCGCCTCGTAATACCCCGAATCAGGATCATGCCAGCGAACGCTGCAGAGACGATGTTGACATGCTTGGACGCCCGACCGAAAGCTGTGCCCAACAGATTGCATCTGCCCCGCTCAGCGACCTCGGGCTGGAACGTCCGCGCCCCTCCGAGGCTCTGAAGCAACCTGCGATCTGGCTTAATGACGAAACGTTCAGTTCCGGAATGCTCAGCGTCGTTCGCACGGTTCAGGCGCCGCGAGCTGGGGGGTCTCACGCCACCAGCTCAATGGCTGCAGAGCCAGAAGACACGCGCATTCGTCATGGACGCGCCGCATACTTGTGCTTCTGCAACGCGGATACCTCCCTTTCATTTCGGAAGGGATTTATGGATTGATCGCACTGGAATTAAAGACGATGAAGCGAGTTCCTAAGCGCGGATCCTCTTACGATGTGAAACGGATGTTGCGCTATCGAGGAAAATGCCTGTACATCGATGGTGGATGGGGTGGTTTGTAAATCTCTGGGTGGTTGTAGAAATGGTATCCTGAAAATTGGGGCCGCCATGCACCATAGAGGCAAATCACTGCACCGCAGGAATACTCACACATCCTTGGCTTAGTTTTGCCCCACCGCAGATCCGAGTTCTGTACGCACATCCACAAAATGGGCTAAAACGAAGGCAAGTTGATTTTTTACTGCATCCATGAAATCTGGCAACCCGTAGGGGCGTTCCGCTAAAGTCGGCATTCCTTCATTCGCAAAATATACCTCATGTAAAAGCGCACACCGATTTTCTCTGGAAAGTTAGTTGATACACTGTTGACCAAAGTTCACCAAAGGTCAAATGGACAAACAGCCAGAGGAGTCAGAATTAAGATGTGGTGAAAAGGAGACTAGCTCATAGACTCAGGTGCCTGTGAAATGAACAGATTTCAGGTGAGAGGTGACAGGTGTCAGGCATCAGGTGGTAGGTGATATGTGACATGTGATATGTGACAGGTGACATGTACCAGGTGCCAGGTGCCAGGTGCCAGAGGTCAGGTGTTAGGTGTTATGTGTCATGTGTCAAGTGACAGGTGTCAGGTGTCAGGTGTCAGGTGACAGGTGATGGGTGTCAAGGTGTCAGATCTCAGGTCTCAGGTGTCATTTATCAGGTGCCAGATGCCAGGTAGGAGGTGATAGGTGACAGGTGGCAGGTGACAGGTGTTACGTGATGAATACAGTTTGAGAACTGTTCACCCTTGCGAGGAAAAGTCTCACATCTTTTTCGCCCTTGCGAGGAAAAGTCTCACATCTTTCTTTAGCATCTTTCGAAACACACATCGTGACTTTCATACAAACACTAAATTCACTCGCAAAGTCACAAGTGGTACATTCACTTTGAACCACCCACCAAACATTAACATCTTCTGACTCACCATGTCCATCAGGCTGCTCAAGTCGTTGCACCCTGCCGGACTCCACAGCAAGAGCAAGGTCACCAGACAGGTCACCACAGCTTTCCAGAGGCTCAAATCTGCTGACCTCCGGCCGTTCCTGCAGCCGTTGTCCTGGAGACAAAGAAGTCTGTCAGATATTGTGCCGCGGCACTGTCGTGCGACACCGTCGCTTGTGACCACCTGGCCAGGCCGCAAAGTCATGACACCGTGGCATGACACCGTCACTTGTGACCACTTGGTCAGGCGCGAAAGTGACACCGTCGCACGGCACCGTCGCTTGTGACCATTCGGTCAGGCACGAAAGTGACACCTTCGCATGACACCGTTGCTTGTCACCACTTGGTCAGATGCGGAAGTGACACCGTCGCATGACACCGTCGCTTGTAACCACTTGGTCAGGAGCGAAAGTCATAACACCGTCGCGCGAAACTCGGTCAGGCGTTGCGCCGGAAAGGGACATTTGCAACTAGGACCACGTCGGATAGTAATTTAGTGATTCAGATATTCAGATGATGATCGTGACCGAGAAATAAACGCTAGATAGTGACTAGTCATTTCCAGACATTTTGCAGCAATCTGTGTGCTGAGTTATGTTTGCAAGGGCAGTGGAAGTGCTGAGTAATGTACCGCAACTAAAGGTCATGCATATTGTAAACCAAGTCAAACGGATCACGTCCGCTGCCCCTGAAAAGCTCAAATACCCAAAAGAAAGAAAAATAAATTTCAAGTAGACCGAAGAAAGAAAAATCAATTTTACAAGACGTTCAAATTCTGGATTCTTCCACGCAGCCTACCTCCATTTGGAAACATACACAAACGTGCACGCAGCCTTTGATACCACGCGGCGCGTGCAGCGATGTACACGCCACATACGGGCTTATAAGCAAGGGATGAACCAACTATGTAAAAAATGCCTTCAGCGCACATTCGTGAAGATATGTGGAAACACACATTTAATATACAAAAGCTTGAAGTTCAACATACTGTAAATCGGTGCACGGTTTGGGTAGTGCGATTAAGGTCATTATGTGTTTTAATCTGGGGGGGGGGGGGGGAGTAGAAGATTGTCTACCAAGTTCCAAAGCATAACAGTTTCCTGCTATCAAACTGCGTCGTCGTGCAGGGAAATGTAGCCATCTCGACATAGCAAGCAATGCGATCAAAACCACAAGATTATCGAAGAAGTGTATTGCGTACCTGATCATAATATGGCCAAAATGTACGCCGATGAATTTGGAAGCATCACTGTCCCTCCCAAAATCGTCTTATCTCAGGGCACAAATTTAGCACCATGATTGCAGGTTGCAAGGCGAACACGCCGCCGAAAGAAAGCAGGCACAGGGCCGGACAAATATGGTGAAAATCTCTACAAGTGTAATGCGATTTTCGCCGAGGCGCATGGTGCAGGAGTGCGATCAAGGTCATTATGTCTTTCGATCTGTGGCGGTACAAGATTGCTTACCCCGTCTCGAAGGCGGGTACGCTTTCCCCGGGTGCGAGATACGCGCGCTTACCAGTCTACTCGCGCACACAATTAAATTTCTTGTTCAGCCTTTTCGCTCGTGGGCAATATCTGCATGGTGCCTCCGCATGTTGCGAGGGGCGTGTTTACGCTCATGCTACCTCGGCCAGAGCAGTACTGGGCGTTTGTCCGGTGAACGGATCATGGACGTCACTGGGAGCGATGGCCAAACAGGAACTTCGAAAATCATCACGCGACCGGCATAAGCACCTCACAAAGAGAAATATGCAATAATGCGAGGTCAAAACATCAGGCGTTTCGAGTGATGCTATCGACACAGGTCTTGGAAGTGAAGAAGTAAGCCCGCGATGTCCTTGCCGATGATGTAAGCAGGGAGGGCGTGGTTTTACATCGCCTGCCTCGCCAGTGCGCCAGGCGATGGTCGCACGAGACACCCCACCTCCCGGTGATCGATCCAGTCCGCATGCGAAAGCGTTTGGCTGGGTCCTCTGGCCCGGCGGTGGTGCCGGCCCAGTCCAACCACTTTCACTGCCTCGAGGATGCGCCGTGCATGCAGGGAGTCCAGAATCCTCACGTGCAGGGAGTCCAGAATCCTCACGTGCAGGGAGCCCAGAATCCTCACGTGCAGGGAGTCCAGAATCCTCACGTGCAGGGAGTCCAGAATCCTCACGTGCAGGGAGTCAGAATCCTCACGTGCAGGAGTCCAGGATCCTCACGTGCAGGGAGCCCAGAATCCTCACGTGCAGGGAGTCCAGAATCCTCACGTGCAGGGAGTCCAGAATCCTCACGTGCAGGGAGTCAAGAATCCTCACGTGCAGGGAGTCAAGAATCCTCACGTGCAGGGAGTCAAGAATCCTCACGTGCAGGGAGTCCAGAATCCTCACGTGCAGGGAGTCCAGAATCCTCACGTGCAGGGAGTCCAGAATCCTCACGTGCAGGGAGTCCAGAATCCTCACGTGCAGGGGGTCCAGAATCCTCACGTGCAGGGAGTCCAGAATCCTCACGTGCGTGGAGTCCAGAATCCTCACGTGCAGGGAGTCCAGAATCCTCACGTGCGTGGAGTCCAGAATCCTCACGTGCGTGGAGTCCAGAATCCTCACGTGCAGGGAGTCCAGAATCCTCACGTGCGTGGTAAGGAGACTGCGGTTAAGCTCCCAGACTTCCGCCGGCAGATGTCGATTTTCACCCGCGATTTGTCAAGAGCTCATTTGACAATCGCGACGGAGACAATGGGCATTCTCGACCGGCAAGCATATGGATCGGTTGCCGTGTTAGGCCCGTCAGAAAGCGCATCGGCAGCCACAAGCGGTTTAAATTTCGTGCAATGCAACCGATTGCAACGCTCTGTTATGTAGTCCGCCTTATGGCGAAGCCCTTGAAAGCTTCCGTCTTTTTCTTATTCCTGCCATGCTCTGTTTGCAACTGCTTCACAGGACAAAGCATAAACAAGTGCTATGTTGTAATTCCCAACATACAGAGAGATAGTGCCACGAAGAGCTATCTGATGTTGTGCACCATTCCTTTGCTTAATAGATGCATCGGGTGACTAGTAACCAGCCGTGATTTACAAGTTACATGTTTCGCCCCTACCATCACGTACCATTACTATCTTTAGATGCCAATACGCAAGCCTTGCTTAGAGGGGCCACCGTGCCCGATCTTGCGATGGCTTGGATGTTGTGGCTGCCAATTCCGGCGAAATGGCAAATACGTCTGATAGGCCAGCAGGCCGGCTGTCGATAGGAGCACACCTCAACTTTGAGCGCACCGCAATGGGGCAATCATGTGCATCACAGGTGCATTACGATCATCGCGTGCACGCTTCACTAAGTCGGAAGACATGCTCACATGACTTTTCGGAGAGGAAGATGTGCGGTCGGTGGAGAGAATACGACCAAGATGCACTACCGCAGAGGTGCAGATGCGTATGCATAATTATCTAGTAGTGGTGCAGCCTCACTCATGAGCTTAAATATCCTATACTGACAATAATCGATCTTAAATGCACCAGACGGTACTAGGCAAACAACATTTTTATGAAAATATTGTTTGTTTTGTCAACAGGCAACGTTTCAAACTGTGTATCTGACTCATGATCCTCCCCACAGCTTTAAACGTAAAGCATTGACAAGGTAACCAATGTTCGCTGGACAACAGTTAGCCGGTACCTCTTCACACGTTGAAGGAAAATAACTGTAAAAAGGGGAGCTCTGACCTCACAATGCTGAAAAACCAAGAGTCCAAATTATTTATTGCTTGTATCAAGTATAATCCAAGCCCAGCGGCAAAGGATAAATCCGTTGGTCAATATTGTCTTTAAAACAGATAATGACATTCAGTGCATCCAGCCATGAGTGAGAACCCGATGCAGTTAGACTTCCACTCCACTTTAATATAAAAGCCGCACTGTACTAGATTTATAGGGATGCAGACATTTCACCTTGCATAGAAGATTTCTGCAAGTGCGCTTCGGTATCAGTAAACCATTTTGCCACACATGGCAAGATTCAAGGTGGTTACTTTAAGCGTAACGCTGTTTTTCAATCCAGTTTCTCAATCTTTAGCAGACAACAATTCTCTGACCACTTTGGGCAGCTTATCGATATTTTTTACGAGATAGCACGGAGATTTGGGTCCACCCACCAGGGTATGAATCCGCCAAGTTGAAATACGGGTCCGGTGTCACACAGCCTGAAATTAGATATGCCATAAATAATATATATATATATATATATATATATATATATATATATATATATATATATATATATATAGGAAAATAACGGCCCAGTGTACTACCCATTATACAGCCTGAAATAAGGCCTTAGATATACAAGTATTAACATACCCAGCTGAGAAATCTAATATGGTTACACTTTAATTTAAAAATGTTGCTTTCGCTGGATAGTCATCTGTTGCATGAATTATATGCCAGCGAGCATTGAAGTTTTATGTAGAAACTGCGATCTGGCAAAACGGTAGAGTGATCGAATCGAGGTAAGGTGTAAGTTTCAACTTAACTATTACGAACTGTCACGGAGGCTATTCTAATGATTCCCATCTGACACTGCTGGTCGATTATGGGTTCTTGTAGATGCACACCTGTCAGAATCATATCGTGAACGAACCTGCCAGGTGTCAAAACCGTTTGCGAAAATGTGGCAGAATATTTCAAGTATTTTGACTGCCTAAACCTATCGTCGGCCCAGCCACCTAGCACCTGAACAGCACCAAGAGCTGCAGAATTGGGATAGGTCAGAGCTCCCCTGCGCCACTTTGTGACCGCCAGCCGACGACTGCAAAACATTTGCAACCTGCCTCGCCGCTGGAAAGTGTGTGATTTTATATTGCCATTTTGGGTGTAGATGTGACAGCAAGGGAGATATCCCAAAATGCACGAAGACGATGGATGACTTTCGAGCTCCGTGCACCGCATTGATGGATGGTGAGCTTTCACGTAAATCAAACTGAGAATAAAAACACGTCTTGACAAGCGTGTGAAGTGAAAGGTGCTGCTTAAAGAAGGAGGAGAAGGGGGAAGGGGGATATTGCTCGGCGGAAACCTACTATGGGCGATCGCTGTTAGCGTTGTTTCTTTATCTGACACGAATTCCCGTAATGATATATACTATCACCCGCTACCGTGACACGGGACGCGGTACCCAGGGACTCAGGTTCGGTACCCAAGGATAAGGACAAGAAAAGACAGCATCTTCAACTTCACCAACTGAGAGCGTGCTTTGTGTAGATGTCACATGGAAGAGAGCCAACACCTGTCTCCGTTAGCAAAGAAACGATCTGATCGGAACAAGGGGTGCACACGGTGAGCGGACGCAAAGTGATGGCGGTGCTGCCCAGTGCCCCGGAGACCGGTTGCACAACGGTGAATGGCCCACAGACCCCGTGAACACGAGAGATCGGTTGTGAAGAAGAGGACTTCACCTGTTGGATAAACCCAATGGCGCCCACATGGTGAGGTAACTGGCTAGGTCGTGTACAGGCTACATCACTGATGGCACGCTTCTGAGTTGGGGCTTGGTCCACCGCTTTCAGCGTTTTTCTAAGCATGGCGTTGAAGTTTTTGAACACAACTGATGCCAGAAACCCGTCAATGTCCTTTTTGAAGTCGAGAAGCGACCGTCCTGGCTCAAACAGCGCGCCTCAGAAGACACGACGTCGACAGCAGCCTCTAGGAGAGCTGGGTTGGCGCAAGCGAAAGCATGAGGTTCTATCTCGTTCCATCCGCCTAAATTACGTTAACTGAAGGACCTGCACCGACGCACTAGGCACGTGTCAACATCATCAACATCAACTGACACCATGGACGGTACGTTCATACAACCGGAGCGAAAGGACCCGATCACCTAAATAGCCCCACTGTCCCAAAACAAAAAACCGCAAGTCATCCTGACGCCGCTGCAATTTGCAGGACCTGTGGTCTTGGTATGCTCTCATGCACGCCTTATCTTGAGCCGGAAACGCTTGCCATCCCGCAGTGGTGAAGACGATGGTCTGATAACGTTCGTGGCAGCCGAGGCCTGACACGGGTGCTTAAGTCCGCACAGTTCCCAGCGAAATCTGCGTGATTGGTTCGAGGGTGGGGCCACTCGGTTGTTCCGGTTCGCAAATGAACAGGATGTATCAGTTTTCGAAGTCCTTCCCAACTGACCTCTCCTTAGTCCCCCCCTCCCCACATTAAACCGATCATCCGCGGTGGTAACCACCTCCTACCGCAGCTAAGTCCGCCTCCAAATCCCTCCACTTCAGCACAAACTAGCCGGGTAATCTTCCGGGTTAGCCAATAGCCAGCCGCGTGTCTGCTCCCCCATCCCGCTGCCTGTCTGTGGGCGGGGGGCCGGCCGCGCGCACCGCCGTCTCGCTGACCCCCGAGGCGGCAACGGCCCCACCTGACGGACACGCCTTCCGTGCTGGGCTGGTAGGTCTGCCCCTGTACGCCTCCCGCGCGTGTGGCATCGGCCACTAAGCCTTGCACCGCCGGGCGAGATAGGCTAGATTCTCGCACGAAAGCGCAGGTCTTGCCAGTGCAAGCTGCACCTGCCAGGGTGAAGCCCCTGGCATGGCGCCAAGTCCTCTCCATATGCGAGTTGTTTCTATCCGTTTTCCGGAGTAGGCCTGGCACGCGACGGGCAGATTGCTTGCACTGTGAGATTTGTCGCTTTTTAACGACTGACTCGAAAAAATGGTGCACGGTGAATGCAAGCGTTGTCGGTTGCCCGCTTCAACCCTGGGTAGACTGGTCGCGCTCCCAAAGCACTCGAGTCGGGTGAATGCTGTGATTTCCCAGAGCCTGATTTTTCTGTTTCAAGAGCTCCAACTTCCCAAAGCCTTTGCCGCCGCTGAGCTCTGCTGAGGTGGACGATTAGGATGCTCGGGAATGGGCTTATATAACTTATGCTATAGAAATGGGTTTTTGGCATGCGCGGCGCAGGGCATCATATGATATAGAGCGTAGACTGGCAAAGTAGAGCAGGACTGTATCAGTGGGACACGCTGCCGTACAGCACTTTTTGCGAAGCAGTCTTCTGGGTGTCTGAACACAGCCTCGTGTGTCGGGAATAGGACAGGATACAAATTACAAACCGTTGCATTTGTAGATGTGCGTGCTTTAATTATCAGGTCATAATACAACACACGCGGACATTTGTATGCCTCAAGGACGTTGGAAGAGCCAATGGATTTCATTCCCGCATGACGTCACGCAACAAATGAGCATGTTTTGGGAGTGTGCGCAAACTCATGCCCATCACAACAAGACGACAATGAGGCATGTCCTCCAGTGGTCCGCAGCAGCAGTCCAGCAGTTCCGCAGCGACACGGGGACAAACTTGCATTGGTCTTCGGAAGTACACCGGGTTAGTCAGCTGAAGCATCAGCTGAAGCATCAGCTGACTGCGCAACTGTTCCAGGATTAACTGAAATATCAGCTTCAAACCAAACTGAATAAAACCGACGTAAACCGAATGAATTTGACATCAACCGAAACGAACCGAATGATAAATAGGCGAACTCCAGCCTTAGAGTGTGCGTTAGGCTACATCCACGGCAGGCGCGAAAGAATTTTTGGAGCACACGTGAGTAAGTTATGATGAACAACGCCAGGAAAAATCAGTACAAAACTCGTCTGTATGTAAGTCCACATCTTAAAAACGCCTAAATCCATGCGCGGCGCGCGAAAGTCCGTCTCGACAGCTCGGTTGGTTAAAGCACTCGTCCTCCGACCTGCCCATACGTGGCGGGGTGGGTTCGAGCCGCTTTAGGGGCTCGCTATATGCCCTTGAAGGGTACGATCTGTGATCGGTGGCAGCGGCCTCGCCAGAGGTCAGGTTGCGTCAGAGGGCAGGACGGTCCGTGCCGGGCATTGCAGCACGCTCAACTTTCGCCACCGAATCCTGGCGTTGGCCAGGAATTCCATGATCGGATGGTAGGGCCAGGGTTCACACAACAAGCGCTGTTTGACGTGAGCTCTGATCCCAGAAATCCATCCATTCAAAAGATGCGGGGAAAAATCTTAAAAAGCGATGCAGCCCGAGGCTGGAATAACTCGTTTGTTGCCTAGACGACGGATTCGGCGTCATCCTAACTCGACACGCAAAGGCGGTCCGTGTCGCAACGGATGTTCTGGAAAAGCTCCACCATTAAGCCCTAGGCTGCGCTAGATCCTGCCGAGCTGATGAACCGGAGACCTCCACTGAATGCACCTGCCGCGACAGTTGAGAATGCCGGCAGACATGTGCCGTCCATGATGACACCACTGATATCTCGCACGATTTAGCGGAAGCGTAAACAGAGCGGGCTTCCGGTATGCGTCACACAGGTTTTGACATGTGCTGGCCGTGACGTGCTCACGCTGGAATGGGCGGAATTGTAGCAGACTTTGGCTGTTTTTGACGATTTCCGCTTCGGATTAGTTCACATTTTTCCGTTTGGGACTGGGAAAACCAGTCAATGTTGGCATCTATATGGTTTTTAAACGGCTTATGCTGGAATGCACTTATATACCTGAATGAACTGCATATCTTCAAGAGTATTCCACAGTCATTCAACATGAAGCTCCAGAAGATAGCCAACTTCAGTTAATGCTGCGGGCGTTTCGAGCAGGCAAACCAGAGCATACCATCACGTTTCGACGCAGCCGGTTTTTACATCAAAAGGCGGAAAGCATGCAATGGTTGTCACTATGATCATGCACCGAATATTGCATCATTGCTGGCCACTTGTTTGGACGTGAGTCGTGAGACGCTTAAACCCATCCTAAAGCATGCATTATGGGATGCAACAGAACCGCAATGTTAAGGCATATGGACATGCAGCGAGCGAAGGTGCAGCCCGTGACGCCAGCACGTTAACGTGTACAGGAGCTAAACTTTGGCGGTTTGCATATCTGATAGGACATGTGACATGTTCTTTCCCGTTATCTTTACCCGCGTGAGCTGCGGTCAGAGCCGCCACAATGAATTGCTCTGACCCTAGCATGTAAGGCAAAATACCGCTGCCAATCTGGTACTTTTGACCTTGCCCGTGTGAGATCAGTCCCCCACACCTCACCACAGCGAGCGCGGGCGCCGCATAAACCACACTGACCCTGCAAGACCGGTCGCGTGTTCAAACGGCACCAGTCCCGCAATCGAAAAAGGGGCCTAACGTACTGACGAACGCGTCCTGGCAAACCTGTGAATTGGACAGGAGCCCGTGGGGACGGGGGCTCGTCGTGGTCCTACAGAACGTTGCCTCATTACCCACTTGACCGCATCCGCTATGAAAGGCGCGTGCCACGCGGTGGAGCGACGCCCTTGGCTGCTCAATGGTGAGCGACCGGCAGCGGCACGAGCGTTTTCAGCCAGTCACCTCTTCGCGCTTTCGGTGCCACTTACCGGATTCATCCTAGCACGGGCGCTCGAAGACGTTTTAAGCAATGTCCGTTTGGTACCGACCGCGCGCCGTGCGTTTTTCGCTCCAGTTCGCTGGGTGCCGTCACATGTCTCGCCGGCCGACACGCGCACCAACGCAGCCCTCCAACCGGCGCGCGCACGTGCCGCAGACTGCGGGCGGGCTCCTCCGCCGGCGGAGAGCTCGGAAAATCCCGAAGCGGCGGTGGCTCACTTTCACTGGCCGGGCGGCGCCGGACGGAACGGGACGGCCCGGAACGAGAGTCCTGTCCCGGTCTGGGCCTGGACTCTGGTCCCGGTCGGGACCGCGGGACCGACGGTGCCGCGGACTCCGGTCCCCAGGTCGACGGGGCCACCGAGCCCTGCGGGATTCGGTCATGCTCCGGCCTTCTTTGCTGCGTCGACCTTAGGTCATGTACGCCGTGGCTCACTCTTAATGCAGCATCGTGCGGCACTGGGAGCAAACAGAGCAGGGTTAAGGGACGAGGTCAAACGGGGCGTGTATATAAAAACCCAGCATAGTGAGAGCGACCGTAGCTTTGTTTTTTAGATACCGGAATAGTATGGATGCTGAGTGTCGGCACCTGCTGCACGGTAGCCAGTTCCCCACCCCAAAAAAGGACTCCGTAGGGAACACTCACGTAAAACAAAAAAGCCGATCTTTTTTTTAATTTTTTTCTTCAACTTAATTAGTTAGCTAGTAACAAGATAAAGGTAGCAATTACCCGGTATTTCATTCGCAACATATGTCTGAAAAAGTGATAGATGCATACAAAACATTTCTTAAAGGTATTTCTTTATATTGCAGGCTTTGAAAATTTCGAACTTTCTATGTTTATAGTCATTGTTCATGTGCCTATCAAAAAGGTTCCCCGCCAGCCCCATGAATACGAATATTCTCCCATTCTCGGATGACCTTCATCTGCTGGTACCCTTCAATTGGCGTGTTCAGCTGCTGAGCAAGGGTACGGAGGCCTGCATCTTTAGCTTCCAGACCACGTTGATTGTGTGAAGGAAGACAATCTAAATGTTCAGCATTAACCACCAATACTCGTCAGATAGCGCGTGTCTGATTCATTTCCAGTATCCGTACTTCCACTTTTAAGTTTGGCATATGAGATGAAACACTCTGTAGTTTCACAAGGTTCTCAAACTAATAGCTAGTTTCGTATAGTTCTCAAAATGTTAACTGGTTTCGTAGAGCTCTAAGACTAGCAGCTAGCTTTATAGAGTTCTCGGTTAGTAACTAGATGCGTTCAGTGCATAGCTCTGCCAAATTTTACGGCTCTGTTCAGCTGCTGCTTGTATTGGTGCTGAATTGTTGCTGCTGTGTGACATGTTCGATTTGTCATGCTGCGGCGAGCTGCACCGGCACCGCTGCCAGCTAGCTGCGATCACACTAGCTTTGCTCGCACCGCTGTAGCTGACCTATCCAGCCTCCTGGTGCATTTGTTCACACCTCTTGTGGTGGCGCTGCTGTCATCTTAATAGACGAGAGACCGATAGAGACGAGATAGAGATAGAGACGAGGGAATAGAGAGATGTGTAATCGACATTCTAATTGGCGCAACACCGACGCGGCTGTTTTTGGGTCGTGGCAATGATCAGGTGCATCTGGCTTAATCCGATATCGTTGTAGGTAATTCCCCTGACAGTCTCATCACCAGTTCATGTGACATATTTCTGAGGCTGTTACCGTTATTTGCCTTACTAACACATCTGGGCTGCCTGGCGCTCTTGGGAAAGGCCGTTAGATGTGTCTTTTTACCAGAATGCGACAACCAACTTGATTGACAGACATCGCCTATATTTGTTGACGCGATGTACTGCTAAAAGCTAGCTGTCTACCAGACAGTGTAAGCTGTCATTAGAAAGCTGGCCCATCAAGCAGGAAAGGCACACACGACAGTAAACAAGCTCCAAGGTTGGCTGCGAGTAGCCGGTTTTGGGCTTGGGCTAGCCGACGATACACCCCCAGGAGTGCATCCCAGAGGCTGTCGCGCGTGCTCACACCTCTCGTGATGACGTAGCTGTCATCTCAATATGAAGGTCGACGTGACAATGCTTGGGTCTTGCAGGTGAAGACAGCTTTTTCCGTTTATTTCACAGGCATGACCTGAACCCGCATTCTGTGCGCCACGGTAGCTTTTCAGCAGTTTGTCTTCGATCTTTCCCTCAGGTAAACATTCTAGGATCGCTCCAGCTGAACGACACACGATATAGGTACGAAACAGGCAACCGCCCCTAAAAGGATGGGTTTGCACGGGTACCAGAGCACTGGTGCAGACACAATGCGCAAATGACACGAACTTAATCTAAATATCGCTATAGTTTCGCCCGGAGAGCATCAAAATCGGGTCACGTGAGATACCGCGGAGGCCATGACATTTACGTGCTCTAATAACACGTCTTTGGCGCCTGGCGCCTGCAGTAGTTGCCGTTAGATATCGTATCATGATGTCAGAATATGACAATTATTTTTATCGACAGACGTCATCCATATCAGCTGCCGCGTTGTGAAGTTAAAAGCTGACATCATCAGGTAAGGTAAGCAGTCATTAGAAAGCTGACCTACCAGGCAGCAAAGGTGCACATAAGGCAGTAAATTATCTCCAAGGCTGGCTGCGGCTAGTCCGCTTTGGGGTCGGCGCCCTGCTCCCCCCCCCCCCTCCTCCCCAGGGGCCCGCCCACAGCCCGGCGGGTGCCCGGCCTGGCCGAATTTGCGATTAGCTGGTGGCTAATCTGCAATTTTTTTCCGATAATGGATTTTACTGTTTAAAGTGGAGAAGAAAATGCACTACACATCTGCTTTAATGTTATGGCATCAAGTTACATTTATCCTATAATCCCAAGGTAATGACGTTTGGTGATGTGTGTAAGATTTCCAAGTATAATGACCAGCTTTTGTGTAACAAGAAAAAGACTGCAGAAACTATGCAATGGCTGGCAGGAGTTTTCCATTATCAGCGAATGGTTAAAGGCGGAGATTTGTCCACTCCGAGTTAACCATCCGAATGCTCGCGCATAATTTAACGGGTTTCCAGCCGGCCCACGGCCGGCTAGCCAAACAACAAGCTCGCTAGTCCAGAATGGCTGCTGCGCGACGTCGACATAAAATAAAAATGATACAGTGACAAAATCAAAAGTTACGCAATCAAGGACGGCTTGACCAGAAGAGTAGTGAAAGACAGGAAACAAATAGCTTATTGGACCCCGAGATGCTCGAAAAGGTGTCAGCAACAGCGAGCGCTTAATACAACGTGCACATTCATGTAGCGTCAACAACGTCAGATGCCAACAGCACAAATTCTACATCGCTATTCGGGGTCTGCTCTGTTCAACACTGTCAACACAAACATCCCTGATAGGTACTGCTAGAGTGCAGCGGCTACCCGTGAGCGCCATCGCGCCGCAACAAATCGCAGCCCGTAAAACGCCGCAACCGCAAACCCCGCTAAGATGCTGACAGCAGCTGATGGCGCCGATACCAGCGTAGCTCACGGAATGTTGACGTCGCTGCGTGCCGTTCTGATGCTTGCTGGGCCTAAACAGCTGTGAATTATGCCACGAAACGCCATATGTTGTGTCCGTCGATGAGTGGAGCGTGCCGACGGCGTTCGGAAGGCGGAAAGTGCAAGTCAGTCTCATTAGTGGGCTTTATCATAGATTCCATGCATAGCTTTAACGTGACTCGTAAAATGTTTCACTTGTGACTTTCACTTTCACTTTGTCACTTGCCACTTACGCTATGGGCGCGGTGCATTCCGTTTTCTGTTTTTCCCATCGCAAAGTGCGAAATGCGGATAGCTGTACCGATCGGCGGTCCACCTCGAGAAATTCAAGGATATCGACTAGGAGAAATAATGACCGTATGGAAGAATGTCGACCTTGTACAAATCAGGACATGTCACAGCTGGCGGCGGAAGTCTTTTTTTGTAAATGCTGTCAAAAATGCGGCAGTTGTGCGTTGGGACATCACGAAATGTGCCCACTTTAACAATAGATCTTAGGGCCTGTCCAGTTCCGGCCCTTCCGCCGTTTTAGCTTTCTCGCGAAATCTCCGCTACTGTTCAGAAGTGGAAAGGACAGATACTGGAGATCACTTCTTTACACGGGCGACCGATAGGCATCGTGCTAAATTTCGCAAAGTTCAATGATTTACCCCCATATTCCCCCGTTAAGCGTCAGCGCGTGTGGACCCCGCCCTTGCAAAATTCTATCCTGTCACGATTACTTGGCTGCCGGCGCCGCTTTATTGCAACAGTGGCACCTGGAGATGACCTGCACGCGGGCCCTGCGATACGCTGACTGGAAAATGATTTCCGCCGGAGTTCCCCCCCCCCCCCGCCGCCCCGCCCCCAGTCAAGGTGATGGCGTCGGGACTTCCACAGTAGCCAAGGCTGTGATTGGGCTTTTGAAGGCGTAGCCCTGCCGAGCAGGCGTGGTTCGGTCGTGCGACGCTACGGACGAACGCACACGACAGGGCACGGCCGAGGGCCGCGGACAATGCACCAGAGGGGAGGGGGTTGGGAGGGCGAGGTCGGGACCTGGATGGTCAAAAAACTTTTTGTTGCCAGCTGCATGATCCGCTTTGAAACGCGTTCGTAGAATACGGTATATCGCGGTGCTCGGTTTCTTTCCGCTTTGACACTTTTCACTAGAGGGCTGACAGAAAACTACGTTTGGAGACCTTGAGGTGAATTTCAGAAGTGTACGGCCATTTTTGTGAGTATTTTTCAGCTTACATTAACTTGTTTGCTGAACGACTGCTTCCGTTAAAAAAACACATACAGTTATTTAATATTGACCGTCGTTGCATGCCCCTTAAGACCCTCGCTATATTTATTTATTTTGTCATCTTAATTCATCATTCAAATATTCTAACACTGAAATATCCTATTATCCTAGTTATTCACGATTTGCTTGGTTACAAGGGTAAGTGGGCAAAGTTTATCGCTTTTGATAGAAATTAGGAAAGTTAAAGGAATTGTTCCACATTAGCATGAGGTAATCAACAGAAATAACCGCCTTGAAGACCATTCCCATTCTGTGCAGTTCATAGCCTTATCCATTTTAAGACCTAAACCTCTCTAGTTTTTTGGCTACGCGCCCGCGAAGATGTGCCGGTT